TACTACTCAAATCTTTTTTTTAAAGTTTTACTCTGCCAGCTTTCTGCTTCAATAAGCTAGGTTATTTCTCGCCAAATTGAGGAATTTTGAGAATTTGACGCGTCAGTGACAAATTCCAGATTTCAATTCCAGATTTGTATAAATTGGTGACTCGTGTGATGATTCTGTCTTTTCCTTCGAGCCGCTTTATTGTAAGGAGTACTTGACCGCGTGAGTTCATCACTAATATACACTGCCCGATCGATATGGAACTCAGTGAAAAGATCACAGATCTAACAGTGAGTGAGTTGGGAGAGTTGTTGGAGTCCCGTGGTTTGGACAAAGAAATCGTCAAAGCTTTCAAAGGTAAATCTTAAGCTTACGTTAGCCTATTGGTATATAGAGAAGTTAGAGATGTGCATGGCGGTCCATCTCAAACAACTGCAAACAAAGCTCATGTGTTTCAGAACTCATCTTATCTCCTTCAAATGCCAACTAATTTCTTATGGTTTATTTTAAGATGCTGAAATCGACGGGAAATTGAGTGGAAATCGGGGACATGTTGAAGTCCCTCAAACRGAAGCGCGCCGCCATTAGCGCGTGGGTAGAAATAACTGGCAAGGTATGTATTTCTAGTATAGATATAAATGTTTTCCACTTATTATTGGTAAAAGAAGAAGAAGAAGAAAGAAGAATATTTTAAAATGTTTACTGTTGAAGAGGAGGTAAAATTTACTGATTCTTTTCTGAAATTCGAGCGCACTGTTTGCGGTTGCAGTATCTAGTCACGTGCAAGTTATGGCGGGAAAAATCAGAAATCGCATTGAGCATGCTCGAAGTACAAAGTCCGTATTCGTATATTTCATGATTCAGTAGTGATTCAGTACGATTACGTTTATTCATGTTAAATGGTTTTTTTTTTCATAGACTTTTGACGATGAAGGACAGCCAGCAGCAAGAAGCCTGCCTAGGAAAAGGCCTGTTCCAGCTATCTTGGAATCTGATGACGAAGATGGTGAAAATGATACGACTTCGAATATGACAAACAGCTCCTCCGGCTCGTCCAACTCGTCTGCTGCCGTTTTTGATGTAGACAGCTCTAAAACGTCTACGCCCAAGGCCAAGCGTCCAAGGAACACTCCGATGCCTTCTAATTCGAGTTATCAGGTAAGTTATAATTTGTGTTGTACGTGGTTGAATCAGGGAGGCATTTAAAGACTTATATCCATTTCCCAAATTTATTTCCTCAAAAGCCGGCTAGAACGCTACGAATGACTGCATCATGGTTTGCATGTTTGTTTTGTTTTTTTTTATCTTTAACATATTTTTGTTATTGTACTAAGTGCAATTTGGTTAGACTTTCTTTCAAAGTGGTATAATTTATACTTTGGAATACCTTGGAGGCTCACTGAGCATAAAGTTATACCTTTCACTTGGTACCTCACCTAATGTGATAGAGGCTTGCTATAGCTTCTGGAGCACATTTTTTGTGTGTGGTTAAGTGCCTAGGTATGGAACTTTGTCTGTGTGCATGAGGTAACACAAAGTATTTCGTTTGTTTTAGGATCAAGATCACAAAATCTCAATTAATAAAGAA